AACCGTAAAGTGACATGATTGAATTAATCGATGATAGAATTCAATTAATAGGAATATAATGCAACATAAATCTACTTATGTACATACATATAATAAAGGACCTGCAGCCGCGTCACGGCCGCGCGCATCGCTTAGCGATCGCAGCAGGAAAGGCTGACTAGCAGACACAGGCGGCAGATGAATTCCTGTTGACCAATTTGTACAACAATCAACAGCATCAGCAGAAACAAAACCGATTCAGGAGGATAATCGAAGGAGAGAGGATTTCAAAGCGTTTTTGAACCTAATGAAGTAATACATTAAAGCGCCGTCTATTTGCTCCAAACAGTTGGAAGTCACATATCCTATTGGGGCCTCAACAAAGAAGTAGAACACTGACGAAGCAGCAAAGCTTAATAAAGCCACGAAAGGAACGACTACAATCAATTCGGTGGCCCCTTGAGCTTGCTGAAGATATTGTGAATAGTTGAAGAGGTAGATGACAGGCATATGAAGGAGGTAGGTGTTGTAAGTGAGTCGAGCCAATATCGACCATATATATGAGGTGGATTTTCTAAAAAGAAGCCTTCAATGACAGCGATCCACAAAAAAGGATCAAGAATGCTGAGAAGAATTCCGGATCCGCCTTCTGATTCCCGAAAGTCGAAGTTTTCACAAAAATCGCCTCGGGTCAGGGCTATCTTGGAGATTAGCGTGAAACTAGCTGTTTTTTTGCTTTGCGCTTATAAGGGCCAACGGATGTCTGCGAATCCCTAGATTTCGGAGGTATCCCCGAAAACTAGCGGAACATGAAAGGGAACTTTCACATTGGAATACGAAGATTTGAGCACGACCAGATAACCTGGAGGCTCACAGAGTCGCCCAAGAAATCCAACATAACGAGAAACAGCGTCACGACAGTTGAAACGACGTGTCTAAAAACCCAAATCATTCACATGGACCGGAACTGGGAATAACCCTGGAAGACGTTTTTGGAAATGATTACTGGAGCAGACGCTGTCCTCAGACGTTAACCACAAGCCATATTCTTAGAATTCCACGGTAAGCAGATGGGCGGAGATTCATCCCTTAGCGTCTCCCTCATTCACGTGCCCCTCCCATGTTAGGAGTGGGGCACAAAGTGGTAAGGCATGTTGGCTACGAGTCCGCGCCCATCTGCTTACCGTGGAATATCCCAAATGACCGGTACTGGAAAAAAACATCGTTAAGACAATCGAAGTGACGTGTTGGGAAACCCAAATCCACATGAACCGGAATTGGGAATCACGCTGGGAAACGTATCGAGTCCGAGAACAGTCAAATAGTCTAGGCAGATGGGTGTGGACTGGCAGTCGCCCTAGAACGTGAGGTGTTCTGAGGAGGGTGGTCGTTTCGCTGCAGCAAACTATCGATGAATTAACTCAATGTCGACTACTTCAAAATTCTCGGAGTTCAATGCCAGACCTAATGGCCCATGTGATGGCACGACATGAACGGGTTTTCGATTCGAATCCTTCTTGAATCAAAAATGTCTGGGAATCCTGCTCAGCATTCAGAAAAGAAGAAAGCTGGTTAAAACTTACCTTTCTAACCGAGAAATGAATGCCCATATCATTCCACAGACGCCAATAGCGAAAATGGTTCGGAATGTTGCAGTATAGTAGAGATTGTAGCGTTCCAGATGATCCCCGAACCAGTACTGCGGTAAAATGGCATAGATCACAGCTACACAGAGTGCGAAAAATGTGCTGGCGAAGTAGCGTGATCTATGACGGTCCAGAGAGGGTCTTAAGCTTGTGGAGGCGGTCCCTAGCAGCAATCCGAGTATGAACGGGCCACACTTTGTGCACGGACGAGCGTACATTTCCCACAAGCCGCCATAGATGCTGGCCAGTGTTGCCGGATCCTGTCCAGGATACGAGATGAACTGAAATTATGAAGTGTTTCGGAACATGGCTTGGAAGTACTGTGAAATGTCCAGAAAACTGCAGCGACGTGCTGCAGCTTGCTGGCTTCAAAGTGTACTCACCGGTATGTCGACGTCACTCTTGTGGCAGACCTCATAGGCACTGCAGTAACCGGCTCGGATGAACATTGACGTGACGATTAATAGCACGCAAAGCAACTTTCCCACAGCAGGTCGTTTGTAGAGGGCGTGCAGGAGGAATGGGGCCATTATGTAAAGTTGCATATCCAATCCGAGATACCATAAATAGCCCAGGCATGTGGGCGTAGATTGCCAGTTACCCAGAAGCGTAAGGTGTGCAGCGATACCCGACACGCCACATGCAGAGATCATAGTCGAATGGAATCTGGAAAATAGTGGATTTGAATGGCATTGACGTCTGTTAGTCAAAAAGCGATGAAGTTGAACACGAGGCATACGCAGTTGGGAAAGGGGAAAAACGGGTCAAGTTTTTGGCCCTAGATCCTGTCTACCTCGTACTATGTTTCATCTAGTTCGTCGCATATCTTGCCTGGGTTAGGCTGCCAACTTTTTTGATAGATAGAAAACTGGCTGTTCAACTCTTACAACGAGGCTGGAGCGAGTTAGGTAGGATGCAGGGTGAGCTATGGAGGATCTAGGGCTAGAAATTCCACTCGTTGTCCCCTTTCTAAGTAAGCATGCCCGGCGTTCAAGTTTGTCGGTCTTCTAGATATGTGAATAATGGGATTCGTTGACATTAGACGCGTGCGGGTGCGATGTGGGCAGCACATCATCATGATCGTCAAACTGCATTGCTTGCAATTACACTGATACGAGAGCAACGCTGCAGCTTTGCACCCGCAATCGCATCATTGGCACTAAATTCGCCAAGTTGCTCACCTTGGCAAAAAACGCTTCGTGATAGGACCAGCCGCTATATAGATGAAGAATATGACCGATGGAACGAGTCGAAGAATTCGCCGGATAAGGAATGTCCTGTAGTGGCCGGCAAATGGCTGATCGGCTCTTCTCAACCATGTTCGGGCACATAACAGTCCGGAAAGCACCAGGAAGATCTCGACACCCAGCGCCGAGTTGCCCAGCAGTGCACCGAATATGGGGTTATTGTGCACAGAATCCTGAAAAAGAGGACTTCAAAAGCTGCTGCAGCGATAATATGTTTCAAAAATCAATGCCCATCCAATTCATCGGTTGTCAAAACCCGCCTAGCCTCAGCAGGTACTAGTAGCTGTGTTTGTTTCACCTTTGCCACAGTTTTTCAATCAACGGAGTGGTTCAAAGTTCTCCCAGAAATAGAACAGCACCATTGGTATCTGCTTCCGAAGATAAGGACAAGAAACAAAGCAGGACAAAGAATAATTTTCTGCAAAATCTTTCTGAATGCTTCACGCACTTATAAGAAGTTTACGGGGCTAGTATGCTCTAAAAAGCGTTCTTCTTGATGGACGGAGCCGAAATTTTCCTAAGTTCTGTACCTACGGTAAGACCTAAATCGGGACATTATCCCTTTTGCTACATGTACTGCTCTTTAACAACATGGCATAAGCACTTGGGGTGGCCTCGTGGACGAGTTGTCGCTCTGTCGTAAGCCGTAGGGTCCCGCCCATCGGGACGAGTTTTCCGGAGGAAATGGGTATGTATGGTGAAAGTTGTCAACAATCCAAGGCACGTCACATGGAATTCAACCCTTGCTTATTCCGGCGAAATAAATCGAGCGCTCACCTTGAACTTCTCAGCTGACGGTAATCGATCGAGAATATCGATTCGTCCTTCGCTTCCAGTGTGATTAACTATCACCCAGATGATAGCAACTACTCGAAACACGTCCAAGACATCCAGTTGTGAATGGCGTTCCATCGTCAATTCCTTGAAGGAACGTCGAAGACTCAGTGATGAGAACGCGGAGGCGATGTTGAACGTACCATAGA